AGTTCATGAGAATGGAGCGCAGAGATCGCAGCTCCCGACCACCCTTATCTACCCCACCCTCCCGCCTCAAGAAACTCACCCCCGAGGAGCGCACCTACCTCCAAGCAAAAGGGGGTTGCTTCCGTTGTCGCCAATTGGGGCACCAACAAACCAACTGCCCCAACGCCGCACGATTCACCCGCCAGTCCGCCTCCACTCGACCCGCAACCTCCGCATCACTGCCCTCGGCAAGCGTGGGCCCCTCCTCATCATGAACACAGTCCCCAGGACACTGACCTGGCATCGACATCGCTTGTGTCGGCCCACCTATCGGTGACGTCCTCCATCCCACCGATGGCCCATCTGGCAACGACAATTCGTTTGCCTCCCCCCTCTCCGGCGACGCCCCCTCCACCGGACGACTCCMAGGCGTCGCAAACGCCTCCCACTGCCTCATGCTCCTCTACCCTTCTTCCAAATCCATCCACTATCACCTTCTCCGATGTTGTTGAGGAACAAGCCCGACACAATCGGCTTGTCCGCTTAGGCAACGAACAACGCCGCCTCAACACCATCATCTCCACCGCCAACTCATCTCGTTTCCACCTCAAATTCATCGCTGCCACCCTTGGTACGTCTACAACCCTCCTCGACATTGGAGCCATTGGTAACCTCATCACCGACGCGTGTGTTTGTAAAGCCGGTCTTACCTCTACCGGTTATGACTCCCCGATCACGATTCGCCTAGGGGACAAAGACACCGCCGTCGTAGTAGACCGCACAGTTCACGAGACCATCATGACCGTCAGAACCCTCTGCAATCAGGTCTCGTTTGATGTCATGCACTTGATGTGCGACATCGTCTTAGGAACCCCGTGGCTGGACCGCTACATGCCATACGCATTCCACCCCAACTTCCTTCGCCTCACCAACCCCCCCGACACAACCATCGACATCCCCTATCTCCCATATCCGATCTCCCAAGGCTTTGTCACCCCGCACCAATTCCTCCACATGGCTCGCCTAAGCCTCGACTCCGCCTACTACTGTCTTGTCCTCGATCGCGAAAGTCCCAAGGACTTACTCCCAACGGACAAACCCGATCAAGCCCCCCCCTCCAACCCCGCCATCACTTCAATCCTCGACGAGTTCAGGGACGTCTTTCTCGAGTCCTTACCCGCCGGACTACCTCCGGATAGTGGCGTATCGCATACCATCGATTTGGAACCCGGACATTCTCCACCTTGCCGCCCTCCATACCAACTCTCTGTCCCCGAAGCCGAAGAAATGAARCGGCAACTYGGTGAAYTCCTTGAAAAAGGGTTCATTAAGCCAAGTTCATCCCCCTTCGGAACCAGCTGCCTTTTCGTCAAGAAAGGTGGAACTTCGGAACTCCGCATGTGCACAGACTACCGCGCCTTGAACCGGATCACGATCAAGAACAAGTACCCCCTACCTCGGATTTCCGAGCTCCTTGATCGTCTCCGTGGAGCCAAGTACTTTACCAAGATCGACCTCCGCAATGGCTTCCACCAGATCCGTATCCGCGAGAAGGACACCCACAAGACCGCCTTTCGCTCTTGGTTCAGGCACAACGAGTTTCTCGTGATGCCATTCAGACTCACCAATGCCCCCGCTACCTTCCAATTTACCATGAACCACATCCTCCGCAACCTCCTCGAAGTCTGTGTCGTCGTCTACCTTGATGACATCCTTGTCTTCAGCCCCACCTTCGAGTCCCACCTTCAGCACCTCCGCCAAGTCCTCTCGATCCTCCGAGAGCAAAAATTCTACGCCAAGCTTAGCAAATGTACGTTTGCCGCTTCGAGCGTCGAGTACCTCGGCCATATTGTCTCCGCTAAAGGCATCCGTATGGACCCCTCAAAGGTCACAGCCCTCGTCGAGTACCCCCCACCCAAGACCCTCCTCCAACTCCGTTCTTTCCTCGGCCTTGCCAACTATTACCGCCCGTTCATTCGCAACTTTTCCGATATCTCTTACCCTCTCCACAAACTCACCCGCAAGGACGAGCCCTTCCATTGGAACGATCGCCGCCAACAAGCTTTCGACTTACTCAAGCAAACCATCACCACGGTCCCTGTCCTCAAGATCGCCGACCCCACTCGCCATTTCTATGTCACCACTGACGCCTCCGACTTCGCCATCGGAGCCGTACTGTCCCAACATTTCCCCCGCGACACCGCCGAGACCCCCTCCATCAAGGACTCGCCCACTTACCTCAAGGCTCCACCTGGCGAATACCCTATCGCCTTCGCAAGCAAGAAGCTCCTTCCCGCGGAGATGAATTACCCCTCCAACGAGAAGAAACTCCTCGCCGTGATTCACGCCCTCACAGTTTGGCGCCCGTACCTTGACGGGCAATACTTCACCATCCGCACTGACAACACCATCGTCTCCTCCATCCTCTCCAAGAAAGATATCACTCCACGCCAAGCCCGCTGGCTAGACTTCCTTGCCCAGTTCACATTCACCATTTGCCACACCCCCGACAAAAGCAACCGCGTTGCAGATACCCTCTCTCGACGACCCGACCACAAGCCCCCCGAGAAAGTCTACGCCGCCATGACTCATATTCAACTCCTTCCGTCACTTCATCATCGGTACACCCAAGGCTATCTCTCCTGCTCAGACTTCGCCACCATTTACAACAAGCTCCGTGATCTTGACCCAGTTCCCGACTACTCCCTCCACAACAATCTCCTCTACATCGATACCAAAGGCACTCGCCGACTTTGCATCCCCAACGCACGGGGCCTCCGTACTCAGCTCTTGGCCGAGCACCACGACGCCAAGACTGCAAGACATCTCGGTTTCCAAAAAACCTTCGACACCATCTCCCACTACTTCTACTGGCCTTCCCTACTCGCCGACGTTAAGGCATACATTCACTCGTGCCCCACGTGTCAAGCTGTCAACCCCTCGAACCGGGCCAAACCCGRCAAGCTCCAATCATTGCCCATCCCAACTCACCGGTGGCAGTCCATCTCCATGGACTTCGTGTGCAGCCTCCCCAAGACCGACCGCGGGCATGATTGCATCTACGTCATTGCCTGCCGCTTGACCAAACGTGCCCACATCGTCCCTTGCACGACCTCGCGCAGTGCCAAAGACGCAGCCACGGCCTCCCCGAGAACATCATCAGTGACCGTGATCCTCACTTCCTCTCACAATTATGGAAACACCTCTTCACGGCCTACGGAACCACGCTCAAGTATAGCACTGCATTCCACCCACAGACCGATGGACAAACAGAGAAGATGAACGATACACTCCAAAGAATCCTGCGAAAGTATTGTCATCCACACCAACACGATTGGGATCAGTTGCTCACAACCATCGAGATTACCTACAACAACGATGTCTGCCCTGCCACTGGCATGTCCCCTTTCTACCTCGACCTTGGCAACCATCCCCGCTTGCCCTCTGATTTCTTGCTTCCCTCACAGCTCAGCCCCTCCACCCCTTGCCCCTCTCTCAATGAATGGGTAGCAACAATGAACAGACTCCTCAGAGAAGCAACCGAAGCCCTTGAAAGAACACAAGAACAACAAGCCAACAAGAC